AGCAGGAGTGGTTCAGACACCATTTTTATAGGGGGTCAACAGGGGGGAGACAAAAATTTTTTGATGACGTTTTTTTTTTTTGGAGTTTTTTTGGGGGAGTATTTGTGGTTCATGGGATTGAAGGCACACTTCATGACGTGGCGTGAAAGTTCCCGGTTGCAGATTTTTTTTTTTTGGATTTCAGCTTTCACGGAAAAAAAGAAGATTGGTTAAAATTTGGGGGTTCAAACTTTTTGTGTGGTAAAAGTGGGTGTGGGTTGTTATGTTAGTCCGGGAGATAGGTTTAGAGCTTTGGGGGTTTTCACAACCACAGAGAAAGAAAAAATGCCGGATTCTTCCCCAAATCTGGGTTATTCCCGGGGGACACTTAAGTTGGGGAGATTGAATTGAACAATAAGATTTTTCCGGGGGGGGGGGGGGGGGTAGCACACGGACTTACATTGGGGTGCACAATGGAGTTTGTTTCATGTGGAGACGACACAAACAAAAATAACTGTTTGTGGTTTGGAGACACGAGCATAAGAACAGAGGGATTGAGCTCCGCGGACCTGCAAACCGTCGTAGTTCGCCGCTCGTTCACCGGCCGCCATGGTCAGCATCTCCCGCATATCGACTCGCGCAACCTGACCACGAGAACCGCAACGGGGATTTGTACGAACGGATGAGTGTGCTCATCAACAATACAAGCGTACGCGGATAAACATGCTCCACCCGAATCCCCGAAAAAACTTTCAATCGTGCTAAGATCTTATTTCCAGGGTCTTTGCCGTGCCGAGGGTGGTTGGAAGGTCGACGTAAGTAGTCAATCGAGGACAATCAAGACAAACATTGATGTTGTTCCTCGCATGTGGTTGTAACTCGATTTCAACGTTGTGCCGCACGCCGGGCCCAACACGTCCTCTTTTGCTTTCTTACACCCACGTCAACCCGAACGATTTTTTTTTCGGGTACGGCTCGGTGTTACCGATGACACCACATTGTTCTTTGTAAGTTTGTCGGCAAAGCGCCGAGAGTCTCGCGTGCAGCATTACAGAGCGATCTACACGAGGGTATCCACGCACACCAAGAGTATTTACCCTACCTTGCCGAAAAATACCCCGTTAAAGTGGGGAGTGAGGTAGACGTGGTGTCCCAGGGAAAAGCCTCCGACGTAGCCCCTCAGGTTAGGGTCGGGCTGGTACGGAATCTGTACAACCGCGAGCAAAAAGTGTTCCAGGGCAACGATGGCCATGCGCGAAACGACGAACCTCAATTAACACGGACTGTGGCGCGCATGCTACAAAAGTACGAGGTTTGGTCAACCTACCCTGCTGCAGTGCGATTCACGTGGTCGCTCTCTCCAACCAGCCGCGCGAAAGACAACCATCGAAACGCGATCTGCACCAAAGATAAAGGTATTAGTAACAAACACAACCCTTTGTACCAGCTATCTACCATCAGCACGGTCGAAAAGATCGACAGGTTTTCTTAGCAGTCTGCTTGGGGAAGCGGGGGGGAGGGGTCTCTTAGACAGGCAACAACGATACCAAACCCCAGATATTTGATAACAATCACGATATATTATTGCACTCGGTCCCTTCCTGCCTTACGCGAAGCTCTGCAAGGGCATCTTTCTCTGTGTTGCATCACGCATTGGCCATGGTAGCCAGTCACCCGTGATCGAAAACGGGAGGTTGCATCTTCCGTAGCAAGCACTTCGGTCAACAAAATAAACGTATTTACTGCCCATGCCGAGCGCCTCCGTGGTAGATAGATGTGGTCGTGAGAAAAACGATACGACAACTCGCATGCCAAACGAACAGTTTTCTATTCTTGTACGCGGCAGTGGTTAACACCGAGTACCATCCAAACGGCACCGCTATTGACTCTTCTGTTAAGCTTACTCGCCTGCTGTCTAGAGGTGGCGGCGAGGTCTACGACGCTGACGCCTTCGACGGTAAAGTCGGTCAGATCCACCGCCACCATCTGGCTAAACTGCGACCTGCCGCGGTAGTTTCCCGTCGTGTTTCCGTTGGCGTACGGCGAGAGGATCGCGTACCTTGTAGCGTTAAATTGAACAAAACGGGAACGGGGGGGGGGGGGGGGGGGAGCGGCT